AAATTTAAAGTTATATATTTGAAAAGTTGAGATAGAGATTGTTCACTCCCCAAGTGCCTACAAAAATGGGTAACTGAGCCAGGTGGCAGCCAGGAACCAGGAACTCAAACTAGGTGTTGCAGGTGGATGTCAAGAGCCCCGGCAACTTGAATTATCACCAATTACCTCCCATGGTGCTCTTTAGCAACAAGTGTAATTGAAAGCTGAGGTGCCATGACTTGAACCAGACACAGGATGTGGATGTCCAAAGTGGTGTCTTTACTGCTGCACCAAGTGCCCCTTCCCAAAATTTCTGTTGTCATTTCTAATATGTCACTTACAAATACCACAGTAGGATAATAGTGGTTCTCTTTATCACTTTTAACTTTTTAACTTTTCAACTATCATTTATGTAATATCAGGTGGCTATTATAAAAGAAGTTATTTTGTGAGTAGTTGGGACCAGGCACAGATTATAGTGCTTATGACACCGGCATCCCATACCTGAGTGCTGGTTTGAATCCTGGCTGTTCTGATCCAGCTTCCTGCGTGGAAAAGCTACACATGATGGCTCATGTATTTGGGCCCTTGTCACCACGCGGGAGACTGGGATGAAGCTCCTGGCTTCAGCCTGGCTCAGACCTGGCTGTTATAACTGTTGGGGAGTAAAACAGTGAATGGCAGACCTCTTTTCTTTGCTTCTCTGTTGCTCTCTTTCCTGATAGATGGATTGTTTAGATAGATAGAGCTGATAAAGTAGGAACCACAAAGACAGAAGACTGTGGTATTTAGTGAATTGGAATGCTGTACTTTATGTGGTACATAATGTAAACTAGGTCCTTGATAAAATCGTATGGTTGGTTGAAACACTGGAGATTTGTGTAGAGGAAAAAAAAATGATGGATTCACAGTTTCAAGTATGTTTTTATACTTAGCAGTTTGCCTCTGTTGTTATTCTGTTAAATCTTTTAGAAAATATTTTTCTCTATATAGCAATGGGACTATTCAAAAGACTGTTACAGTAGCACTGATTGCTTTTTGTGCATTTATTTCTTTTTTCTCAAAACTTTTTTTTTTTTTTTAATTTGACAGGTAGAGTTATAGACAGTGAGAGAGAGAGAGAGACAGAGAGAGAAAGGTCTTCCTTCCATTGGTTCACTCCCTAAATGGCCGCTATGGCTGGTGCTGTGCCGATCCGAAGCCAGGGGCCAGGTGCTTCCTCCTGGTCTCCCATGCAGGTGCAGGGGCCCAAGCACTTGGGCCATCCTCCACTGCCCTCCCGGGCCACAGCAGAGAGCCGGACTGGAAGAGGAGCAACTGGGACTCGAACCCGGTGCCCATGTGGGGTGCCGGCGCTGTAGGTGGAGGATTAACCAAGTGAGCCACAGCGCTGGCCCTGCATTTATTTATTTATTTTATTAATTATCTATATCTATCTAACTATCACTGGCCTTGATTCTATCTATTTATTTATGCAAAAGGCAAAATTATTGAATGGAGGGAGAGAGAGAGAGAGAGACCAACCGACCGACCGACTGACCGACCTTCATCTGCTGGTTCATTCCCCAAATTGCTGCAATGGCCTGTGCTGGATCAGGCTGAAGTCAGTAGCCATGAACTTCATCTGGGTCTCCCATGTGGGTGAAGGGGCCTAAGCACTTGGGCCAACTTCTGCTGCTTTCCCAGACATATTAGCAGAGAGCTGGACCGGAAGTGAAACAGTGGACACTCAAATTGATATCCATATGGGATGCTGGCATTGTAGGCAAATGGCTTAACTCCCTATGCCACAACACAGGCACTTGCATTTGACTTTGATTATCATCCTCATCTTTGTACAGATGATCCTTGATTTTACCTGCCTCTGTGTATTAGCATAATCTGAAGTTTTAATGTAAATGGAATCATAATATGTGACTTTTTTGTCTCACTTCTTTTGCGTAGCAGATGGTTTCTATATTTATCCGTGTTGTGATTTCTTTCAGTACTTCCAATAATTCTATTTTTAGAAGCTGAATAATTTTTAAAGATTTATTTTTATTTATTTGAAAGATACAGTTACAAAGAGAACGAGAGAGAGAGAGAAAGAGAATGTACTTCCATCTGCTGATTCACTCCCCAAATGGCCATAATGGCTAGTGCTGGGCCACATCAAAACCAGGAGCCGGGAGCTCCTTTTGGGTCCCAGGTGGGCTATCCTCTGCTGCTTTCCTAGGTGCATTAGCAGGAAGCTGGATCAGAAGTAGAGCATCCAGGACTCCAACCAGTGCCCACTTGAGATGCCGGGATCACAGGTGCCAGCTTTACCTGCTATAACACAACACTGACACCAGGCTTAGAATTCTTTATTCACATTTGCTATTAAGAAACTACTATTAAAATAATTTAATTCTAATAAAATTAGAAATTTGTTGTAACATGAAAAAGTAATAGTTTTACATTATACTTTTCAAAGCATCATTCTTTTGGGATTACTGACCTAGACATCTGAATTGAAGCTATTAATTTAAATCTGATGTTGAGACTTAGTTGGATTCATGTTAGCTTAGTGAACAGATTTTTCCACCAGCCTCATTGACTCAAAAGCTTAGTGCCAGTGCTGGGTTTAAGCTATAGCTTGGGATATTTGCATCCCATATTGGAGTGCTGGTTTGAGTTCCAGCTACTCTGTTTTCAATCCAGTTTCTTGTTAATGTGCCTGGCAAAGCAGTGGATGATGGCTCAAGTAGTTCCTGCCAACCAAGTAGGATACCCGAATGGAGTTCCTGGCTCCTGGTTTCTCCCTGGCCTAACCTCAGCTGTTGCAGGGCATTTCAGGAACGAACCAGCAGCTGGAAGATCTTTGTCTCTGTCACTCAGCCTTTCAATTAATAAATTTGTTTCTAAAAGCATGGTGTGTTCTGAAGCTGGTATAGTAGATTAAACCGCTGCCTGCAATGCAGGCATCCTGTATGGTCGCTGGTTTGAGTCCTGGGTGCTCTACTTCCAATCCAGCTCCCTGTTAATGGTCTGGGAAAAGCAGCATAAAGTGACCCAAGTGCCACTTGTGTGGGAGACCCCGATGGTGTTCCTGGCTGCAGCCTGGCTGTTGGAGCCATCTGGGGAGTGGACCAGCTGGTAGAATATCTGCCCCCCATCCTATAACTGACTTTCAAAATAAACAAATCTTTTGCTTTTTAAAGCTTAGTGTATTTTGTATACTCCAAATTAATTCACACACCACTCTGAGAGACAACAATATTTGTCATCTCATTACAAGTTAATATTTTGTCAGGAACCTTCCAAGATTGCTCCAGAGCAGTGGAAATCAGGTGTCAATTTTATTTTTATTGTACTATTTAGTTTTGGTGTAGTAGGGTCAAGATTCCCCCCCCCCTTTTTTTTTTTTTGACAGGCAGAGTGGACAGTGAGAAAGAGAGACAGAGAGAAAGGTCTTCCTTTTGCCATTGGTTCACCCTCCAATGGCCGCTGCGGCCGGTGCGCTGTGGCCGGTGCACCGCGCTGATCCGATGGCAGGAGCCAGGTGCTTCTCCTGGTCTCCCATGGGGTGCAGGGCCCTAGGACTTGGGCCATCCTCAGCTGCACTCCCGGGCCATAGCAGAGAGCTGGCCTGGAAGAGGGGCAACCGGGACAGAATCCGGTGCCCCGACCGGAACTAGAACCCGGTGTGCCGGTGCCGCAAGGCGGAGGATTAGCCTATTGAGCCGGCAAGATTTTCCTTCTACCCCTTTTCCCTTATTGTCATTATTGTTTTGGTAATTATATTATTCAGGAAGAACCAAAGTGACAAGGGTGAATGAAGTAGTCCTAAGACATTTTCATTCAAAGGAAATAGTGAATCTTTTCAGGCCATTTATTTAGTGTTTTGAGAATGAGGTAAGGGAAAAATAATGGTGACTGCAACCTTTCCTGCTCTTGAAACAAAAATTGTTGTGATTTGTTTCTAATTTCAATCCTTCATGCGTTTTTGGTGGTCAGATTTTAAAAACATGCTTACAAATTTGTTTTAAAACCATGCATATTTGTGTTATTGGCATGTAAGTTTAGATGTAGAACATGGAAGTTGAAAAACTGTAAGGTTTAATATCTTTCTCTTCAGATGTTAGCTTAATGTTCCCTTTGTAAATAAACATTTTGAGAGAGGAGTTTCTATAGTAGTTATTTGGCTCCTGATATAGATATGTGCTTTTTGGTTCATTATAGATTGAAATAGGATAATTTATTTTTCTTTCTACACAATAATAAGAAATTTAAAGACAAATGTCACAATTTAAGAATTTTTGGTGACTCATATAAAGTCTTAAGATGAACTTAAAAATAACTAGTTTGGGGGCCGACTCTGTAGCGCAGCAGGTAAAGCCTGCAGTGCCGGCATCCCATATGGGTGCTGGTTTGAGTCCTGGCGGCTCCATTTCTGATCCGGTTCTCTGCTGTGGCCTCGGAAAGCAGTGGAAGATGGCCCAAGGCCTTGGGCCCCTGCACCCGCATGGGAGACCCGGAGGAGGCTTCTGGCTCCTGGCTTCAGATTGGCGCAGCTCTAACCATTGCGGCCACTTGGGAAGTGGACCATCATGGAAGACTCTCTCCCTCTGCCTCTGCCTCTGCCTCTGCCGCCTTTCCTTCTCTCTCTGTGTAATTCTTTCAAATAAATAAATAAATAAATCTTTAAAAATTAGTTTAATTATCAAACATTTAAATGAAAATTCCTTTCAGAAAGTGTGAAGTTATCAGTGATTCTACCTTCCTTGTCTTCAGACACAGACATATTTTTCTGTCAGCTGAGGTTTACACCAAATATGCCTATTGACACTATTTTTTTTTTAATTTAGCTTTTTTCAAATGTGTAACTGGTCTTTGCCATTCATTAATCCTGTAATTCATTTTGCAGTTAGATCGAAAGGTAGAAACAAGACAAATTAGAAATGGGAAGGAAGGATAAAAAATCAGAGTTCATTTGAAAATGTTTACCAGTAATGTTGCAGTGCTAATACTTGTAGTGAAAGTATTTTTTCTTATTCTAGTGTCTTAGAAGGAAAGCATCACCATGGCCACAGAAATTGGTTCTCCTCCTCGTTTTTTCCATATGCCAAGGTTCCAGCACCAAGCACCTCGACAACTGTTTTATAAGCGACCTGATTTTGCACAGCAGCAAGCAATGCAACAACTTACCTTTGATGGAAAACGAATGAGAAAAGCTGTAAACCGAAAAACCATAGACTACAACCCTTCTGTAATTAAGTATTTGGAGGTAAGTCCAACGAATATGCATCAGGTAATCAAACTCTGATACTTTATTTTTTAAAGAAATATTTTCAGTTTTGGTTAGTAAGTACAGCTGTGTTTCTTGAATTAGTGTGATGAAGTGAAATTTCATACAAGGCCATTAAGGGTGACTTCAGATCAGTAGTACTTTTTTCTTTTTCTTTCTTTCTTTTCTTTTCTTTTCTTTATGCGTATGGTATAGTTCATGTAAGATTTATTTATTTATTTGAGAGGCAGAGTTACGTACAGAGAGAGGGAGATAAAGAGAGAGGTCTTCCATCTACTGGTTCACTGAACTAATGGCCACAATGGCTGGAGCTGAGCCAGTCCGAAGCCAAGAGCTTCCCCTGGGTCTCCCCCGAAGGTACAGGGGCACAAGCACTTGGGCCATCTTCCACTGCTTTCCCAGGCCATCAGTGGAGAGAGCTGGATCAGAACAGGAGCTGCTAGGACATGAAATGGTGTCCATGTGTGATGCTGGTGGCTCAGGCAGAGATTCAGCCTACTATACCACAGTGCCAGCCCCTAGTTGTACTTTTTTCTTTTGTTTTCTTTGAGCATGAAGCATCTGAAAATTATTAGGCTACAGTTGAGAAATAGACTTTGTTTTAAAGATTCAAAACAAATCAGAAATAGCTCTGGTGCTTTATTCCCTTAGCCAATCTTAAAACACTTGTTGAGCTCACATTGTGTGTGTATTGTAAAGCTTTCTCAGCTTAATGTTTCTCGTTTTTGGGTTCTTAGAAATAATTTCTGTGATTGACTTTTTTTTTTTTTTTTTAAGATTTATTTATTTATTTGAAAGGCAGAGTTACAGAGAGGCAGAGGTAGAGACAGAGAGATCTTCCATCCACTGGTTCACTCCCCAAATGGCTGCAATGGCTGGAGCTGAGCCGATCTGAAGCCAGGAGTTTCTTCCAGGTTTCCCATGCGGCTGCAGGGGCCCAAGCATTTGGACCATCTTCTACTGCATTCCCAGGCCATAGCAGAAAGCTGAATCGGAAGTGGAGCAGTTGGGACTCAAACCGGCGCCCATGTGGGATGCTGGCACTGCAGTTGGCGGCTTTACATGCTGTGCTACAGTGCCAGCTCTGACATTGTTTTTTTTAAAAGATCTATTATTTATTTATATATTTGAGAGGCAGAGTTAGAGGGAGAGACAGAGAGAAAGGTCTTCCATCTGCTCATTAACTCCCCAAATGGTTGCAACAGCTGAAGCTGGGCCAATCTGAGGCCAGGAGCCAGGAGCTTCCTCCGGGTCTCCCACATAGTTGCAAGCACTTGGGCCATCTTCCACTGCTTTCCCAGGTGTATTAGTGAGAGCTGGATTGGAAAAGTATCAGCTGGAACACAAACTGGCACCCATGTGGGATGCTGGTGCTGCAGGCGGAGGCTTAGCCAACTATACCACAGCGCTAGTCCCGACATTTCATTATTAACATTACCCTGTTTACTGGGTTTTGGGTTGCTGTGACCTGTGAAAATTTGTCTACTTTTCATTAACTGAGACCTGCAGTTGAAGACCTATTTGCATATTGGGCCTGATTCTAAAGAAAGTTAAGAGTAGAGACAGATTTAGACTTTTCCAGAAATTTGAGTTGGGAAACCAGACTAGGGGAGTTTTAGAGGAAATATGAAAGCCAAGGGTGAAGAATTGATTTGTCTTGAGGGTTTTTGAGGAATTGGGAATGTCTGTCATCTCCAGCTGTGTTTGCTTTTATTAAGGGATGATTGTTGAGAATGTTTTGGAGTCAACAGCATCTTGGATGAGTGGGTAGGGGTTTATGTGAGTTACGTAAGGAGTGGAATTATAAGCAGTGTCAGTAGGATAAGAGGGAAAATCACTTTAGGATACCCATTATTATCCACATTCTAGAAAATAACATTTTTGAATCCTGTTCCACTGATTTAATATAGCTAACATTTTTGTTATGTCGGTTTCAAATTGACTATAGTTAAATCATATATTCATTAACTGATCTTTTTTCTTTTTTCTTTTAACAGAATAGAATATGGCAAAGAGACCAGAGAGATATGCGGGCAATTCAGCCTGATGCAGGCTATTATAATGATGTAAGTGTAATTGTAAACTCTAGCTTATAAAAACCTCCCTGCTTAGATGTTTAAACCTCAAAATACATTACCTCAAGTTGAAGTCTTATTTTTGAATTAAAAAAAAAAATCCATTTTTATGTGTTTGAGAATCGGAGGGTATTCCTGCTCACTAGTTACTCCCCAGGTACCCACAGTGGTTGAAACTAGGATCCAGGCACTCAATCCACGTCTTCTATGTTAATGGCAGGCCTTAGCTATTTGAGTCATCACTGCTCACTTTCAGGGTCTTCATTGGCAGAAGGCTGGTGTTTGAAGCTGGAGCCAAGTATCAGACTCAGATACTGTTTATTGTATGGCATGCTGGAGTCTTTACTAGGCCAAATGGCCACCTATTTCTTCGTAAAATTTTACTTATTTGAGAGACAGAGAAAGAGAGCTGTTTTCCACTGGTTTTCTTCCCAGATGTCCATAGTGGTGGGACTAGAACTCCATCCAGGTCTTCCATGTGGGTGGCTGGAACCCAGTTACTGTTGTCTGCCAGGGTCTGCATTAGTAGGAAGTTGCAGCCAGAGCCAAGAATCCAACCCAGGTACTCTGACGTGGGTCACAGGCATCTTAACATCTTAACCACTAGACTAAATACCTGCCCTTGTTTTTACATTTTTATGATTAAAATAAACATTCCCCCTTTTATTTATTTATTTTTTATTTTTTTATTTTTTGACAGGCAGAGTGGACAGTGAGAGAGAGAGACAGAGAGAAAGGTCTTCCTTTGTCGTTGGTTCGCCCTCCAATGGCCGCCGTTGCCTGCGCACCGCGCTGATCCGATGGCAGGAGCCAGGTACTTATCCTGGTCTCCCATGGGGTGCAGGGCCCAAGGACTTGGGCCATCTTCCACTGCACTCCCGGGCCACAGCAGAGAGCTGGCCTGGAAGAGGGGCAACCGGGACAGAATCCGGTGCCCCGACCCGGGCTAGAACCCGGTGTGCCAGCGCTGCTAGGTGGAGGATTAGCCTAGTGAGCCGTGGCGCTGGCTTTTTTTTTTTTTTTTTTAAGATGTATTTATTTGAAAGGCAGAGGTAGAGAGTTTTCCATCTGCTGGTTCACTCCCTAAATGGCCACACTAGCTGGGGCTGGGCCAGGCCAAAGTCAGGAGCCAGGAGCTGCTTCTGGGTTTCCCAAGTAGGTGCAGGGTCCCAAGAACTTGGGCCATCTTCTGTTGTTTTCCCTGGCACATAACCAGGTAGCTGGATTGGAAATGGAGCAGCCAAGACTTCAGCTGGTGTTCATGTGGGTTGCTGACATTGCAGGCTGAGGCTTAACCTTCTATACCACAATGGCAGCCCCATAGTAAAGCATTCCTAAAGGGATAATATACTATATCTATGCAGACTATGGGTTATATTTTAAATATGTTATATTTATATGGTTTATATGTTATATTTATATGGTTATATAATATGGTTTATATTTAAAATATAACCCATAGTCTGCACAGATATAGTATATATCTATATACTATATAGATATAATATATAGTATATATAGATTTAATATATATAAACATATTAAATATATTTAATATAGATTTTATATAAAGTATATATTAAATATAATATATATTAAATATATTTTAAATATCAGCTTAAAATTTTCTTTTAATTAATTGAATTATTTGGATTTTCAATCCAAGTCTTTTGATTTAAGGCTTAATGTAATGTTCAACAAGATTAAATAGCCTCAAAATCTTGTAATAGGAAAGTTAATTCTAAATTTGGCTTATAGGACCAGTATTGTGTTACAATGAATTATGCTCCTGCCTGTGATGACAGTATCACATATGGGAGTATGTTCGAGTCTCAGCTGATAACACTTTTGGTTCAGCTCCCTACTAAGTTGCCTGAGAAAGCAGCAGAAGATGGCCCGAATACTTGGGCCCCTGCCACCCACATAGGAGGCCCTGGTGGAGTTCTGGGTTTCTGACTTCATCCTCGCCAAGCCCTGGTCATTGTAGTCATTTGCGGAGTGCACAAGCAAATTCTCCGTTTGACTCTCCCTCTCTCTGTAACTGTGCCTTTCAAACAAATAAATAAATCTTTAAATCTGGCTTATTATAAACATGTTTGTGTTGACTTTGGGAGGTAACTTGGGAAACCTGATACTTAATCTTATACTTGCTTTTGCTATTTGTTTATTATATTGTGTATTTAACTTTCTTGTATCTTAGTATTTTTATTTTAGTTAATAGAGACTAATTCTAATCTGTTATAATCATTTAAAAATATTTATTTATTTATTTGAAAGGCAGAGTTACAGGAAGAGAGTGAGAGACAGAGAGAGCTTCCATTCTTTGCTTCACTCCTCAAATAGCTGCATTGGCCAGGAGCTTCTTCTGGGTCTCCCATATGGGTGCAGGGGCCAGGGACTTGGGCCATCTTGTGCTACTTTACTAGGTGCATCGACAGGGAGCTAGATCAGAAATGGAACAGCTGGAACTTGAACTGTTGCCCATATAGGATGCCAGCATTGCAGTCCATGGCTCAACCCATTGCGCTACAGCACCCACCCCTTTAATAATTTTTTTTAAGTCTTAGATAGCCTCCAGTTGTCGTCACATGCTGAAATTATTATCTTGCCTCCTTCTTCGTTTCTGTCCTATTTGTAATATGATGCTCTAAAAACCCAATTTTCTTTTTTTGTGCAGCTGGTCCCCCCTATAGGAATGTTGAATAATCCTATGAATGCTGTAACCACAAAATTTGTTCGGACATCAACAAATAAAGTAAAGTGTCCAGTATTTGTTGTAAGGGTAAGTATTGAATATTGTTTGGAAAAATTAATCCTGTGTTATTCTGCAGATTTGACAGAAAAAGAAAAAATAAGGATTATTTTAAATGTATGCCTGAGATAATGGTTTATTTTTAGTAATTTTATTTCAGAATGCCACTCATTTTAAACTTTAAGGTATAAAAATTTCATGTATTTCATATATACAGATTTTGGAACATAGTGATACTTTCCTATCCTTGGAATAACACTAATTTATCTACCTTTATTAAGATATAACTTTTGGATTATTTTTCTTTGTATTGTAATTTCCATAGAATTATCTCTGAATACATGGATATACATTGCAGAGGTCTCAGACATGCCCTTGAATAGGAATGTTTTTGCTACTGTTTGCAAGGCAGCACTCTGAGGTGAATGGAAAGTTCTGAGAATAGTGCAAGAACTGGTATGCTATGATTGCTCTACAAAGGCACATAGAAGACACTCAGTAGTTTTTCAATGAGATCTTTTTTTTAAATATTTATTATTTTTATTTGAAAGAGTTACACTGAAGCAAAGGCAGAGAGAGAGAAAGAGAGAGGTCTTCCATCCACTGGTTCACTCCCCAGTTGGCCACAACAGCCGGAGCATGCCGATCTGAAGCCAGGAGCCTGGAGCCTCCTCCAGGTCTCCCACGCGGGTGCAGGGGCCCAAGGCCTTGGGCCATCTTCTGCTGCTTTCCCAGGTCATAGCGGAGAGCTGGATTGGAAGTGGAGCAGCTGGGACTCGAACCGGTGCCCACATGGGATGCCGGCAGTGCAGGCGGCGGCTTTACCTGCTATGCCACAGCGCTGGCCTCACTGAGATTTTTAAGAATACAATTTTAGGCTGGCTCACTAGGCTAATCCTCCACCTGTGGTGCTGGGACCCCAGGTTCTAGTCCCGGTCGGGGTGCTGGATTCTGTCCCGGTTGCTCCTCTTCCAGTCCAGCTCTCTGCTGTGGCCCGGGAGGGCAGTGGAGGATGTCCCAAGTGCTTGGGCCCCTGCACCCGCATGGGAGACCGGGAGGAAGCACCTGGCTCCTGCAGCGCGCCAGCTGTAGCAGCCATTTTGGCAGTGAACCAATGGAAGGAAGACGTTTCTCTCTGTCTCTCCCTCTCACTGTCTAACTCTGCCTGTCAAAAAAAAAAAAAGAAAAAGAAAAATTTTAAAATAGTATATTCACATGGTTCCAAAATTTGAGATTTGCAGGGGTATGCAATAAAAAAAAAAATCTTATCTCTGTCACTCAGGCATTCTGTTACTATTCTGATAGGTTGCAGTGAAGTCATTTTTGTGTTTTGATCATTCTGCATCCTAACTAAAAATGTGTTTGTTGGTTAGCAGTATCAAGAGTGGTTCATAGTAATGTTGAATTAATGACAGCTGAAAAAAATGGGACAGAGGAAAACCAGTCATGGCAAACATTAGTGTCAAATGAGCAAACTCAGCAGATCTGATGTTGAGGAGGTGAGATAGCAGGGGGAATGGAGAGGGATTTGAAGAAGTGCTAGCTGGAGCTCTTTGGACATGGCTGCAGTTAGTCTTTGCCCTCTTATTTACTTTAAAGGCTGAAGGCAATAGAAGAGCTAGAAAAGAAATAATGTATGAGTAGAACCAACCACTGTGTAGTCTAATTTTATTTGTCAAGAAATCTGTTCAAAGGAATATGGTATGCAGCCAATTGTAATATCATGTTAGCATTAGAAAACCTTTTTGAAATGAATAAAATCTGGGTATCATATCAATATTATTAGGTAAACCTTTTCATTTGAGGATCAAGCTTTAAAGTCTTAGGTAAAAAATATACACAAGTTGGAGACAGTCCAAAATCAAAGATGTTAAGAAATAATGTGGGTTCTGTGTCTACAGTTTGGTTGCTTGCAGTGTTGATTGGGTTGAGATCTGTAGCTGATTACAGAAACGAGGAAGGCAGGTGTCTTTTATTCAGAGTAATTGAAACCCTCACAGGGCAGTCATTAAAACAATTACATGTATGTCTGTAATTTACTAAATATTCTTTATATACTGTCCAGCAGTTCTTAAAAGCACATTTTTAATGTTTTAGTTCCTTGTCACAGTTTTTATTTTGGAAAAGAAGATTGTTCTGTTGACATTTTGTATATTTCTATCTTCTAAGGAAAATGAAACAATATTTTGTATTGACCAGTGTATTACAGTATTACTACAGTAATACACTGTCACAGATTCCCTCCAGTATGCAAATTGTGATATGAACATATTGATGTAATGTTAATTAGACAGGATTCTTGTGTTTTCTTTTGAGAGTAGATCAGCATAAGACTTGTTTCTCCTTGGTACTGTGAATCAAGGAAAGCTTAAAATACTTTTAAGTATGTTTTGCCTGTAAGTGTGATGACCTTGATGTCCTTAAGTTGGTGCTGATTGTTATCCTGTTTATAACTTTTCTGCCTGAATCTGCTATCAGTAGTAAGACATCAAATTCTTCATTCAGTCTTTGCATTTTTCTGGTGACTGAAAAATGAGAAAAATGAGATCTTTGCATAGTGTGAATGTACTCTTTAGAGTGCACAGGTAAGTGTAATTTAGTGTGGAGTTAGTGGGAAAGTGTGTATACTCATAACACTATTTTTAATTCCTGTACTATGTGAATAGAAATTCTTTTCTGACAAAGTACTTATAAAGTTGAGCTATACTTTTTTGAAAGTCAGTGTTATCCATTTAATGTTGATTATTTGATATTTTATAAATAGAAATTTTCTCGGGTGTTTTCAATGTTACTGAAATTGGAGGATTTGTACCCTCATGTAATGTGCCTTTTTTTCTCCCCCAGTGGACTCCAGAAGGAAGACGATTGGTCACTGGAGCTTCCAGTGGAGAGTTCACCTTGTGGAACGGACTCACTTTCAACTTTGAAACAATATTACAGGTACCAGTAATCACTAGTTGACACAGTCTTGGGCTACGGTACAGAACTTGAGATGGGGTTGCTTATGGGCATTCTTAAGTACACAATTGAATGACACATTGCCACCTCAACACTCGGCCCTGTAAAGGCTTTCACCCATTCTTTGAAGTATTCCCTTACAAGTGTTTTCTGTGTTCACAGGCTCATGATAGCCCAGTGAGGGCCATGACTTGGTCACATAATGACATGTGGATGCTGACAGCAGACCACGGAGGATATGTGAAATATTGGCAGTCGAACATGAACAACGTCAAGATGTTCCAGGCACATAAGGAGGCGATTAGAGAGGCCAGGTTTATACACAATATACCATTTTCTGTAGTCCCTATTGTCATGGTTAAATTATTCTCTAAGTGTATTCTGGGTGCAGAGATGCATGGGCTCTGTCAGATTCTGGGAAACTTTCTGCACCCTATGCACACAATATTTTTCTTTGTTTTCACACATTCACCATTTTGCTGGCATCTTTCTGAAGTAGTGTTGTCCTGGTTTCAGCCTTTACAATATGTTAGAGATGTATTGTCTGCCGCATTTTGCACTGGTTTTCTCTTTTCATTGATGGTTAATGATGTGTATACATTGCTCCTTTTTATTACCTTCTGTGTAAGACAAGAATATTTCATTCCAAATAAAGAATTCAGTCTTTAATTATACAACTGAATAAAAACTAAAGCCTACAGAAAACACCTTCAGAATTCACACAGAATACAAGGAAAAAAAAAAGGCTTAAGTGAAGACCTGGTTGGCTTGATTATGCCACGACTTCAGAAGGAAAGTATAGGACTTAAAACCCTCACAGATAACTCTCTGGATGTGGCAAACATTAACGGATTAATGAATGGGTTCTTCAAGCTTTGCAGCTGTAAGCAGACCATGGGCAAGACGACTCTAGAACTTTTCTTCTGATTCACTGTTAATAACATCAGCTATACAAATGTATATTTTCAGTGAGTTGTATATTTTTGCATATCAATGAGATATGTGTAGTAAAAGTGAAGAAAGAAGCTCATCAACAAGCCTGAAAATGGCCACAGCCTCAGAATAAAGCTAAACAGCATTCTGTAAGGTTTTTGCCACCACTTGTGGGAGGAGGTTGACATCTTTAGAGAAACACCATCCACTGCAGTCACCTGTTTCTACTTTGAGAGTCTTAAAGAAATTGTTGGATAAGCATGCTTGCTTTTTCTTACAGACTGTGCTTTAGTGCCTTGTGCATATATTGAGTTTTCATAGTTGGTCCTTTCTTATTTGTAGGATCCAGAAGTTCAGGGCAGTTCTTAACAGTTAGTTGAGAAACTTGATGACCTTTCACTACTGAGAAGAAACAGGCACCCCCCTATTTCAGCAGATTCTTTGCCTTTAAACTCAAATCTGAGTGTCTCTATTATAAAGTTTTCCTCAAAAGGTATAATACTTACTGGATAGATTGCCAGGAAGGAGTGAAAGTTTTCCACAGACCTATTGAATACATGAGAAACCATTGAATGTAAGAATGTATAGCATTTTCAGCTCATTTTATAAAATATCTGAGGCAGAAGCTGATGCTAATCTTTTGAGGAGTATTCCTGTGTGATTTACAGGCAACAGGAACGTTACAAAAATAGAATTCATTTAGCTTCAGTATTTTGTCAGCTCCATGTGTTTTGCAGGTGTGATAGGAAATACTATGCTGAGAGGAGCGTGGGCAGCATTAGTACTAATAATACACTTGTTCTGACTGTCAGTGATCGAAAACTAAGAAACAGCCACTCTCTTGAAGTCTTCTTTTGATGTTAGCTCACAGCATTCTCTTTAAGGGCTTCTTCACTGTATACTTCCCTCTCCTGGTTATAATGCAGCACAGTGTTTTTGTTTTTCCCTGTCTGAGAAGCTCAGATATCTGTTAAATGCTGACTTCTTTCCCCTGCTGTGTGTCTTCATGTAACAGTTTCTCACCCACGGATAATAAATTTGCTACATGCTCTGATGACGGCACTGTTAGAATCTGGGACTTTCTTCGTTGCCATGAGGAAAGAATTCTCCGAGGTATGTGTACTAACGGTACTGATTGGAATATTTAAATAGGGAAGGCACTTGTGATTAAATCATCACAACACCACAAATGCTGGCTTACATCTCCATTTGATTTATTTTTTTATACATACAACATTCCAGCCAGGCTCCTTAAAGAAACCAAAACTCTCTTCCCCTGGTTCACTCAATGTTGTAGCTTTTTACTACTAATATTGAGTTCTTTCAAATGTCTATTAAATACAAGAGCTCCCTTTCCCCTTTCACTTGCTTATCTGTATGCATCTTTTAGGGTTCTATTCCTTTCCTGCCTTGTACCCATGATGCCTTTCCCCAACACAACAATATTATTCTGTTTAGATAGGTCACATTTTACATTATGAATTAATTGACAAGATCCATGTTTCAGTGGCTATGATTTGTTTATATGAAAGAGTTACAGAGCAGAGAGAAAGAGAAAGAAAAGTCTTCCATCCACTATGGCTATAACCAGCTAGGGCTGGGCCAGGTAGAAGCCAGGAACCAGGATCTGGGAGCTTCATCGGGGTCTCCCACTTAGGTGCAGGGGCCCAAGCACTTGGGCCATCTTCTGCTGCTTTTCCAGGCCCATCAGCAGGGAGCTGGATGGGAAGTGAAGCAGCTGGGACTTGAACTGGCAGGTGCCCATATGGGATGCCAGTGCTGCAGGCGGCAGTTTTACTTGCTACACCATAGAGCTGGCCCCAATAGCTATACTTCTGTTACTAATAGCAGTTCGTTTTTCGGTATACCACATTTGTACTACATGGCCATCTTGTTAGTAGGCTTGTGAAGGCTTCTTTACTTTTCTTCTCTTCATAATGATAAATAAACCTGAATACTCCTATCCTGCAAAGGAAATCCATATTTTCTCTTGAATTATTGAACAAGATTATCAGATGAGATATTGGACTTTATAAAGTGGAGCTGATGAAATATTAAACAGTTCACCAGTGCCATTTTTGTGAATGTAGTAGTGTTAGGGAATTAACTGTGTGATATACATTTGCAATACAGACATTACAACAAAAACATGTATGCTTCTAACTAAAAATCATTAGATTATTATTCCCTAGGAATGTAATATTCTCAAATGCTTCATTTGAACCTAAACTGGTATAAATAAACAATACATTCTACTTCATATGGTTGATTCCCGTGTCCCACAAAGGTATCATCTTCCTCTGACACATAAATGCAGGGCGGGAGAATGGTTACTACATATACTGGGTGTCCAAAAATTATTCAGCGATTTCTCTTTCTTTTCAAGAATCAGCAGAGTTAGTTGTCGTGGTGGATTTGTAAGTTTCTCTTAATTTTCAGAGCTTCATTTATAGCATATAATGTTGATACTTCTAGCCAAGGAAAGACTTGAGATACTTGAACCCTTATTTAACCATTTAACCCCCATTTCTGTAGCCAGTATCTGTGATGACATTTGCTTAAGCATTTCCTGCTATGCACATTTTGTTAGGTTCCTCCACGATGCATTATGACTAAGCATAAGAACATAGTACCTCACATATTGAGGGAATGTACTTGCTATGAAGTTTGGAATATTGTACAACTCTAGAATGAGAAGCAGTCCTTTCAGTCATCTAGTCTGAGTTCTCTTTTGAGTGTGCACTATGACCCGGAATTCTCAAGTGATGTGTTCAAAGTAATACAGGTTCACAGCCAGGAGTGGCATCTTATCACCTGATTCCCAGCCTTTTTGATACACTAATGTATATTTTCATCACTATTAGAATTCCTAGCACTTAAACATGGATATGATAAACAACGTTTTTGTAAGCTTTGAAAATGCTTAGAAATATAATAGAAAATAATATATTAGAAAATAGCTTTATTCATTAGATGGGATTTTGAGGTGCAAAACAGTTTGACAGTAGATTATGCTACCTGAAGTTTGATAAAAAACCACTGCAGTTTGGGTAAGCAAAAGAAGAAAATCTGCTGTATGATACCATTTTTAAAATTCCACTAAGGAAGTGTTGTTCTTTGGTTTTGGTAATGAAGCTCTTTGCAAATTGTGCTTAAGTTTTTAGAGTGTTTGGGAAGTAACTAGCCATCAACTATTTTCAGATTTGAGTCATGGTTAATTTAGATAAAGTTAAGTAGATGCTGAATCATTACTTCTTGAAGAATAGGTAATGTGACTTAAAAATACACCATACTCATGTCAGTTAATTGAATTGTTTTCTTTTTTATATGAGGACTCTTTATTTTAGGAAATTTCAAACATGCACAAAAGTATAATGACCCTTCATGTACTTTTGGCTTTGTGTTCTAGTTTATGTCTTGATTTCTTTAAAACAAGTACTTAACTATCATTTTTCTTAGTACCTCAATGAGTATCTGAGGTGAATCTGTTAAACTAAGTTAATTATACAACTGAAGCAGTAGTTCGATAGTGAGTCTGTGATCCCTTTTTGTCATCTCTCACTTTTCTAAATTTTATAAATCTTAAGAAATTTCTCACACCTCTACTTGATGGGTTGAGGGTCATGGGAATGGTGAATCTATCAGGGATGATGTGAGAATCTTCAAATAAAACTTGAAGTGAACTTAATTCAGCTCTACCTGGAGAGAGAAAATTAGATCACAAATTCAAACAAATAGGGATAACAAGCTTTAACTCTCTGCTATGTCACTTGGTCTGTATTAATGGTGATGTTCCTGTTATTCGTATAGACCGTATATTAACCAACAAGCAGGCTTATTACTTCTTTGAATTATTATGTGTTATACAATTAAGCTATCACTTTCAAGCTTAACTATTAATATAATCCAGGAACATTCTAATTAAGGGAAGTTTGTGATTATTGTCAAATGCTTATCTTTTCTGTGTCATTCCTTAATCTTCTACTCACAGAGATTTTCAGTAATGGAATATTCACTGCCTCGTGAGGTTCCCCTTTTCAGTTTTAGACAGCTGTAATTTCCAGAGCTTTTTTTTTTTTTTTTTTTTTTTTCTTGACAGGCAGAGTTAGACAGCGAGAGAGAGAGAGACAGAGAAAGGTCTTCCTTCCATTGGTTCATCCCCCAAATGGCTGCTGCGGCTGGCGCACTGCGCCGATCCAAAGCCAAGAACCAGGTGCTTCCTCCTGGTCTCCCATGTGGGTGCAGGGCCCAAGCACTTGAGCAACCAGGACAGAATCCGGCACCCCAACCGGGACTAGAATCTGGTGTGCCGGCGCCGCTAGGTGGAGGATTAGCCTATTGAGCTGCGGCGCCAGCTAGTACTTCGTTTAATATTCCCAGTAACCCTATGAGATAAGAACTGATTGGTGCCCTTTTTTGAAGTAAGGAAACCAAGACACCAAAAATTAAATAAATCTGTCAGAAGTCCTACAGGTTTTAGTGGTGGGGTAGGATTTGAACCCAGGTTGTTTGGCTACAGATTTTATGCTTTTAACCACTAAACGATTTATTTACCTATTTGAAAGATTTATTTATTTGAAAGGCAGAAGGAGATAAGAAAGATCTTTCATCCACTGGTTCAATTCCTAAAGGCCATAATGGCTGGGGCTGGTCCAAGCCAAAGCCAGGATCCCGCAACTCCATTAGATTATCCCATATGGATGGCAAGGGGCCAAGCACCAGTGTATTAGCTGGGAACTGGATTGAAGTGGAGCAGCTGAGATTCAGATCAGCTTCTGACATGGGATGCTGGTGTCTCAAGCAGTGGCTTAATCTGCTCCACAATGCCGACCCTGATCACTATGTAAAAGAAATGTCAGTAAGGATTTAGCAGCGTCTTCCTGAGCTGTATTGACAGAACTGTGAGGTAAAGATTTTTGAGAGGAGGACAAGGGTATGAGTAGAAGGAACTAATTTAGATATTCATGATTTAAATGCATTCTTCTTTAAAACTGTATATATTAAATGTTTTGACTGTAACATACATTTAGCAAAACTTTTTTTTAAACACAATCAACAGTTGAAACTGCAAATGGGTTATTATAAGGTACGTACCAGGTCATACAGAGCATGAACATAATAAAGAGTTACACTGAAGCTTATTCAGGAAGTAGTCTGTTTTCAGTTTTAAAGTGTAACACTTAGAGGAAATGAGGGCCTAAGTACTCATTGAACAGCTTAAGAGAAAGAGTATTATTAGTACTTTTGATAAGTTTCTATTTCCCTCCTTGGTGATTACATCTGAGATTTTTACAGAGTGAAGTAACTCCTCCTCCATCCAGATATTTGGTTCAGCAATGTGTTTTTGAGGTGGATAAAGACAGTTTACAAAATCTGAAGAGTCTGAAAAACTCTTAATGCATGTTGATGGAAATAATTTTACTTAGTAAAGTAATGCTGACAGACTACATAGTTTTTTTACTTTTATTTTTTAAAAGATTTATTTTATTTATTTGAAAGACAGAGTTACACAGAGAGTTAGAGACAGAGAGAGGTCTTCCATCTGCTGGTTCACTCCCCAGATAGCCGCAGTGGCTGGAGTTGCACCGATCCGAAGCCAGGAGCCAGGAGCTTCTTCTGGGTCTCCCACTTGGGTGCAGGGACCCAAGAACTTGGGCCATCTTCTGCTTTCCCAGGCCACAGCAGAGAGCTGGATCTGAAGAGGAGCAGCTGGGGCTAGAACCGGTGCCCATATGGGATGCTGGCACTGCAGGCCAGGGCTTTAACCCACTGTGCCACAGCACCAGCCCCAGACTACATAGTTTATAACAGTGGACCTGATTTATTTGTACAAGGTTTTACAAAACGTTTCACAAAATCTAGTCTTCTTTCCAAAACAAAAACAGCAGCTTATAGCAGAATAACAATTTCCACTGACACAATATGCTTTAATATTAAAAGTACTTAAAACTCCTCCCATTTTGTCATCCAAATGACTGTATGAACCCATTTTACATGCTGATGTTGTTTTCTGTATCTGTGGTTATTTTGAGAAAGAGCTTAAGGCTCTCTTCTGTCCTGAAAAGACCAGATCACATAAGCTTATGGTAGGTTCCCTGACATAATTATCTGGTTATATTATAGGAGGGAATACTAGTATAGTAAGGTGCTGAAATATTTATATGGTACGTTCATATTTTTACAGGAGTTAATATATTTACGCTAAGCTTCCTTCTTTCTGTCTATCTTTCTTTCTTGTAGAGTTATAGACAGTGAGAGATGAAGACAGAGAGAAAGGTCTTCCTTCCGTTGGTTCACTCCCCAAATAGCCGCTACGGCTGGCGCTGCGCCCATCCGAAGCCAGGAGTCAGATGCTGCTTCCTGGTTTCCCTTGCGGGTGCAGGAGCCCAAACACTTGGGCCATCTTCCACTGCCCTCCTGGGCCACAGCAGAGAGCTGGACTGGAAGAGGAGCAAATGGGACTAGAACCCGGTGCCCATATGGGATGCTGGCGCTGCAGGCAGAGGATTAACCAACTGAGCCATTGTGTTGGCCCCTAAGCTTTGTTCTGTCTCTGGTCTGTCACATGGGTGGCAGGGGCTCAAGCACTTGGACCATCTTCCCTTACCTTCCCATTTGGCATTGGCAATAAACTGGATTAGAAGTGAAGCAGATGGGTGTTGAATTGGCACTTGAATATGGGATGCTGGTGTTGGAAGAGACAGCTTAACTTGCTGTTCTCCTCACCCCACTCCTCTGCAAAAAAAAATAAAAATAAAAAAAAAATCACTCATCTGCAAGCCCACGATGGCTGAGGCTTTCCAGGCCAAAGCTAGGAAATGGGAGCTCAATTCAGGTCTCCCCTGTGGGTGGCAGGACCCCAGCTACTTGAGTTAGCACCTGTTGCCTCCCAGGGTGCACATCATTAGGAAGTTAGATGGGAATGGGGTCTAGACTGGAACCCAGGCACTCTGATATGGGACACAGGTGATCCAAAGGGCATCTTCACTGCTATGCTAGATATTCATTCCAGTCTTGGATTTTTTAAATGGTTGATGTGTGAATGCTTGAGGCGTTTTCCCTATTTACAGAAATACTCAGAGTGGTGATGCTTCACTTTTGAGAGCTGTTGATGAGAATGGAAGAGATCTGAATATCATGAGAACAGTAAAGGGGAGTTTAGTATTTAGCCTGGTCAAAAGGTTACAGTCATTTACAAAAATATAATGAATTTTCTATGTAAGTAAGGTGGGGTTATTTTGTACAGATCCCTAGACTATAAGGTGTGGGAAAGTATAGGATGCTGTGTTTGGATTAGATTATAGAAATGTTATCCTGTTGAAAGGTAAGAGAATGGACTGTTGTGTGAGCATTTGGGCTTCTGATGGCTGAAATAGTGCCACAGTTACCTTCCAACCTACCAGGGAGATTATGAATGATATTCTCTTTGCAGATGGATGGTTGGATTTAATAATATTTAACCTAGTTTGTGTTTTAGTTATAGTTTTGTGTTTTAGAGAGATGCAAAAGTCTAAGTCAAGCAGTGGGCAAAGTATTAAGTGGACAAGTTATATTTCATAAGGAGATGTTGCCTTCTGTTGAGATATTAGAAAATGTTATTAATTCTATTTGAGGTCATGAAATAGAGCCTCAAAATCTACCTTATGTTTAAAAATACATATGTGTTTAAATTATTTATACGTATAAATATATAGAGAAGCACACAAATCTTAAATGCTGCAGTGCTGTTTTTGCTGTGCTATGCTGCATTGTGTTTTTGCTTGCTTATTAGCTCAGCTAGCTACCTCTAGTTAAAGAGTATTTTGAGCACTCCAAAGATTTCTTCATGCCCGTTTTCCACTTTAGCTTTGGTTAGTTTGTTTAGGCTTTGAATATTTTTTAAACAGTATTTTGTAAATTCTATTGTTATCAGTAACCACCTAAAGAGCTTATTACACTGAAGATATTTTTATTAAATGAATTTTCCTTTATCTCTGCTCTTCTTCAAATTTATTTTGTGGGTTTCTGATTTCTGTTATCTCATCCTCTATGGTATAGAGTCACTAATTTTCTTTCATTAATTTTCCTCCTGTTCTTTTGAAAATACTATGATATTTTTAATCTTTCTGATTTGATCCATCTGCTAGTTTCCTGCTACTAAAGTGAACACCATGGAAGTTAATATAGGAACAGCATTGCACCTGATTACAAACACAGTCTGTAGAACCTGGATGTTATTTAATAGTTTTAATCTTCAGCAGCTTTGTGACATGTACAAGTCACTGTAGTGTATCTCTGTCCTAATCTGTTCAGTAGAGATTCATGATAACACTGACCTTATTGAGTTACTCTGAGAATTAAATGAGTTAATTCACAAGAAGACTTTTACTAGTGCCTGTACATAAGGTGGTCAGTTATGCGTTTTCCAATGCTAGTTTCAGAGCCTGTTTTCATATCTCTGGCCTGTTTAAGGACAAACATGATTATTTCAGAATTGTGCAATTGTACAGTATCACTGATAGGGTAGGGGTATATAGGTTTTAGGAGCCCCAAGAATTCCAAAATCTGTGGATACTCAAATACCTGAAATAAAATGGTGTAGTCGTTACATGTAACCTGTGCTTATCCTCCTGTATATTATAAATGATCTTTAAATTAATAATACCTAATACAGTATCAATACTATGGAAATAATTGTACTGTATTCTCTAGGGAATGATGACAAACATTTGTGTGTGCTTAGTACATTTTTTTAATCTTATTAATTTGAGAGACAGAGTTAGAGAGAATGGTCTTCCACCCACTACTTCACTCCGCAGATGTCCATAATGGCCGGAGTTGGGCCAGTCCAAAGCCAGGAGCCAGGGGCTTCTTCCAGGTCTCACATGGGTACAGGGGTCCAAACACTTGAGCCATCTTCCACTGCTTTCCCAGGCCAACAGCAGGGAGCTGGATTGGAAGAGGAGCAGCCAGAACTGAGACTGTTGCCCATGTGGAATGCCAACAATGCAGGCGGAGACTTAACCTATTATGTCACAGCGCTGGCCCCAGAAGAAAGGCCAGCCACTATTTAAAATAAAAAATATTTTTGACCCATGGTTGGTTGAATCCACAGAGCTAGAACCCACATATATAGAGAGCTGACTGAATTTTATTTTTATCATTTAAAATGTTTTTCAGCTGTGGTGGTTAGTTTTTACAGTAGAACATATAGGTTTTTTTGTTTTGTTTTTATACGTAGTTCATAAATATTACCACTTGTTTAAACAAAGTTTTGTTTTTCTAGTGTTTTCAGTTGTAGAAAACTTCAACAGGTATGAACTTAGAATTTGCCTCATAGAAGCATTTAAGATTCTGCATTAATGTTAGATGAGCTTAATAATTATCAAAGTAAATAATGATTGCTCATTGTGGCCAAGGGTCTCTGCTTGGTTTGTTAATAAAAAATTTAGAGGACAGGCCTCTTCCCTTCAGTACCATGTCCGCCTTTTAGTTCTCTCATTTCTTTTTTTTTTTTTTAAATAGTTATTTATTTGAGAGGTAGAGTTAATGAACAGTGAGAAGGAGAGATAGAGAGAAAGATATTCTATCCGCTGGTTCACTCCCCAAAAGGCTGCAATAGCCGGAGCTGGACCTATCCGAAGCCAGGAGCCAGAAACTTCTTCCAGGTCTTCAACGTGGGTGTAGGGGTCCAAGTGCTTGGGCCATCTGATACTGCCTTCCCAGGCCATAGCAGAGAGCTGGATTGGAAGAGGAGCAGCCGGGACTAGAACCAGCGCCCATATGGGATGCCAGTTACACAGGCAGAGGATTAACCTACTGTGCCACAGCGCTGGCCCCTTCTCATTTCTTAAAATAATGTTTGCGGCTTGACAGAGTACTGTAGTGAACCGAAATGCTGTTCACTCTGAACACTGACCATGGAGTCTACATAGTTCATCTCAGCCATAATGTCTGTGCTGTTTTGTTAAGACAGTATTGGTTTTCTCCAGGCTGAAGATTAGAGTGTTTCCCTGTTGACCAATCTTAGTCATAGAAATTATGATCTGGCTTAATTTAGTAATAAGAATTGGATAATGAAGTTATAACTCTGATAAAATATCATTTCTTTTTGCTATCTTGGATGAGTAATGCAATTAGCAAAACGTAGGAATCTTGGGAAAATATTTGTATGTATTTTTTGTTGGAGTAGACAAGATTTACAGAAATCTAATGGCATCAGTGAAGGTCTCTTGGGTACATTGTAGCCTAGTCTGCCCCCAGAGTCTTGGGTGTGGTTTGTTTTAGTGTAGGAGCCAAGTCCTTATCTAGAATGTAGCAAATATAGGCCTAATTAAATGATTGAGTGGACTATAAAGGAAACATTTAGAATTAAAAATTTTATTATGTTTTTAAAAGATCTATTTTATTTATTTGAAAGGCAGAGTTACAGAGAGTTCTTCCATCCGCTGGTTCACTCCCCAAATGTTTGCAATGGTAAGGGCTGGGCTGAGTGGAAGCCAGAGCTTTCTCTGGGTCTCTTAACTTGCTAGGAGGAAACACAGCTGGGACCTGAACCCTGGTATTCCCACATGAGTTATGTAGACTTTTCCATTTATGTATTTTTTCAAGTATCATCCTTGCTTGAGAACATTTTTAGTTTTACAGCTTTTTTGAAAGACTTATATTTATTTTGAAAGAGTTACCAGAGAGAGACAGGGAGACAGATCTCCGACCTGCTGGTTCACTTTCCCGATGTCCATAGCAGCCTGTGCTGGGCCAAGCTGAAACCAGGAGCCAGGAGTTTTATCCAGGTCTCCTACATGGGTGGCAGGGGCACAAACATTTGGACCATTTTCTGTTGTTTTCCCAGGCCATTAGTAGGGAACTGGATTGGAAGTGGAGCAGCTAGAACAGGAACTGGCACCCAAATGGGATGTGGGTGTCACAAGTGGCAGCTTACCTGATGTGACATATGCCAGCCCAAAGTTTTACAGATCTAAAAAAATTATTTATTTATTTATTTGAAAGGCAGAGTTAGGGAGAGAAGACTCTTTTTTTTTTTCTTTTTAAGGTGTATTTTATTTTATTTGAAAGAGAGGTAGGTTGGTCTTCTGTCAGCTGGTTCACTCCCCAAATGGCTGCAACAGCCGGAGCTGAGCCAATCTGAAGCCGGTATCCAGGAGCTTCTTCTGGGTCTCTCTCCTACATGAGTTGCAGGGGCCCAAAGACTTGGGCCACCTTCCGCTGCTTTCCCAGGCACATTAGCAGGGAGCTGGATCGGAAGTGGAGCAGCTGGAACTCTTAACGGGCACCCATATATGATGCCGGTGCTGCAGGCTGGGACATTAACCCACTGCGCCACACTGCTGGGCCCGAGAAGGCTCTTTAAAAGTCTGATTTTATAACTGAAAAAATGAGTTCTTCCTTTTCTTTGGAGTGGAGGTGGATTGCTTTTTTATTTCCCTGAAATTCAGTTAAGATTTCTAGTTTTTTAACTTTTATGTTAAAAAATTAGTAAGTTAGCTTTAAAATATATAGTTTTGACAAAATGTTTACTTTGTGTCTCTGATTTGTGTTACAGAAATATTATTTGTGCTAAGTTTGTATTTTGAGTGTGCCTCTGAATGTGATTAATGTGAGTATGTATAGAGATAGCATTCATCTGCAAAGAATTTATACATTTGCAGCAATTTTTTGGTGAAAGAGTACATAAGAAGTACTTTCACAACTGAGCTATTATCCAGATATTTTAAGGTGATCACTTTTGTCTTCAAGCCTTAACAGTTTTCAGTGTGATTGTCAGTAATGTTTTTTACTTTATGTATTTGGTACATTTTAATAATGCTTTTTGTATTTGACATTAAAAGTACATGGAGAAATCATCTACCAAAGTCATCCAAACCTGCCCATTAGGTGATGTGCATGAATGAGCTGTAATTTAGGGTCACTTTGTAAACCTAAAACATTTTCATTCCACTCTTGAGTATTCCCAAGAGTCAACACCCTTCAGCCAAGACCACTAGGAATACACCTGTAGTTGGACAAGTTGCTTTTGTTACTCATTGTAGCAAAGAACACAGACCATAAGGAACCACAGGGTGTCTCAGTAAGAAAGAGTAATGAAGAATCTATTATGGGGTTTTGGCTTTGATTAGTTTTTTGGGAGAATATAAGGAAGTGGGCACTTGATATTAATTGGATGCTGTCAGAAAGCAGAGGCAGTTCTGTGATTGGGCATCAGTGAATCTTACAGGCAGGGCAGATGAGAGTGAGAATGCAGCCAGCAGTAATTGGCAGTGCACTAAGCTGTCACATTTGACAAGAAGTTGAGTTTGTGTTTTGTGAATCATATGGTGACCTTTTTTGTTTGTCTTTATCATAGTCTCATAGTGACTACTTTTGAAAACAAAGTGATTAAGCTGAAAATGTCACATTTTGTGATTACGTTGAGGCTTGTATATGAACATCAGATTAGTTCTTTGATGTCAGGTTGCTTTTTTCCTTTCTCAAATGTATTTCAATCTAAGCTGGACTCTCACTGTGAAGGAGGTCAGGATTTAGCAGGACTGCCATCAGGGATGTATAGGTTGGAATAGGCTGCAGCATGCCACCAGTTACAAAACAGAACAGCAATTGAGAAGTAGTTGGTGGCATATTAACTAGCATGTGTCCTTTTTGAACTGGATGTAAGTAGTGGGTGTAATAGAAGCACGCTCTTTTTATGAAGTAAGATGACTACTTTTTCCAGCTTTACTCTCGGATTTATTCCACTAGGTTTAGTGTGTAGGGATTGCTTTTTAGCTCTTCAGGAGATGTTCCTTTAAAGCTTGAAAGAGTCAGCTGTCCAACTGGTCATTTTCTATATGGTGTATGTGACTACAAAAGATTTTCCAAAGCTTTGAAGCTTTGAAGACTTTTTAAATTTATGTATTTACTTGAAAGAGTTACACAGAGAGAGAAGGAGAGGCAGAGGCAGAGAGAGAGAGGTCGGTCCTCTATCTGCTGGTTCACTCTCCAGATGGCTGCAGTGGCCATAGCTACGCCAATCTGAAGCCAGGAGCCAGGAGATTCTTCCAGGTCTCTCACATGGGTGCAGGAGCCCAAAGATTTGGGCTATCTTCTATTGCTTTCCCAGGCCATAACAGAGAGCTGTATGGGAAGTGGAACAGAGAGAGAGAGAGAGAGAGAGAGAGATCTTCCATCCACTGGTTCGCTCCCCAAATGTCTGGCAATAGCCAGGATTGGGCCAGGCCGAAGCCAGAAGCCAGGAGCTTCTTCCTGGTCTCCCACATGTGTGCAGGGGCCCAAGGGCTGGGAGTAGATTAGCCAGGACTTGAACCAGTGCCTATGTGGAATGCTGGCAGTGCAGACAGTGTGGCCCCAGTCCTCATCTTCACACACAGTGTAAGTGACCACTGGAGATGGTCAGTTCTGAAACAGCACTTTTAATGGTATCTTTCACATAACATTTTTTTAAAGGATGTATTTTATTTATTTGAAAGAGTTACAGAGAGAGGTGGAGACAGAGAGAAAGGCCTTCCACCCACTGGTTTACTCCCCAGATGGCTGCAACGGCTGGAGCTATGCTGGCCAGGAGCCAGGAGCTTCTTCCAGGTCTCCAACGTGGGCACAGGAGCCCAAGGACTTGGGCCATAACCCACTGTGCCACAGCCCCAGCCCTCACATAACATTCTAAAATAAGCACTGCATTATAATATAGAGAAGATATTCCTGTGAGTTATGACTAATTTTTACAGGGTTTATGATCTTAAAAATGATAATAACTTTTTAAAAAAAGATTTATTTATTTATTTGACATTGTTAAGAGAGGGGAGGCAGAGAGAGAGAGGGAGAGCTTCCATCCGCTGGTTCCTTCTGTAATTGGCCGCAAAGGCTGGAGCTGCACCTATATGAAGCCAGGAGCTTCTTCCGGGTCTCCCACATGGGTGCAGGGGCCCAAGGATTTGGGCCATCTTCTACTGCTTCCGCAGGCCATAGCAGAGAGCTGGATTGGAAGAGGAGCAGCCAGGACTTGAACCGGCACCCATATGGGATGCCAGCACTGCAGCCTGCGGCTTTACCTGCTAGGCCACAGCACCAGCCCCTGTAATAACTTTTAAAAATCAACTTCTTAGGCAGTTTTGGAGAAATCTTTAAAAATGTGTAGATCTTCAAACATAAACTATGTTTTAATAAATTCCAGCATATGTTTCTTCCATTGTATCTTTACTTTGAATGATAAGTTGAGGATATTCTTTTTTTAAAAAAATGAAGAGAATGAGAAAGAGACAGATCTTCCATGTACTGGTTCACTCCTCAGATGGTTGCAATGGCCAGGACTGGGTCAGGTGGAAGCCAGGAACTGGGAGCTTCATCTGGGTCTCCCATGTGGGTTGCAGGGGCCCATACATTTGTGCCATCTTCTGCTTGTTTTTCCAGGCCATTCACCAAGTGCTGGATTGGAATTGGAGCACCTCGGACATGAACCAGCACCCATTTGGGATGCTGGCATTGCGTGTGTCAGCTTTACCTGCTTTGACGCAGTGCCAGTCTCGAGGGTATGCTCTTTAACACTGAATCCTTTAACTGCTTGGTATAATTGAGTAAGTGTTAAAGCTCAAGTTCAATTTGTAGTTATGACTTAGTTGTGGGGGCTGGTGCTGTGGCACAGTGGGTTAACGCCTTGGCCTGAAGCGCTGGCATCCCATATGGGCGCCGGTTCGAGACCTGTCCGCTCCACTTCTGATCTGGCTCTCTGCTATGGCCTGGGAAAGCAGTAGAAGATGGCCCAAGTCCTTGGGCCCCTGCACCCACATTGGAGACCCGGAAGAAGCTCCTGACTCTTGGCTTTGGATCAGCGCAGCTGTGGCTATTGCGGCCAACTGGGGAGTGTACCAGCGGGTAGAAAACCTCTTTCTCTTTCTGCCTCTCTCTCTCTCTCTGCCTCTCTCTCTCTCTCTGCCTCTCCTCTCTGTGTAACTCTGACTTTCAAATAGATAAATAAATCTTAAAAAAAAAAAAAAAGGACTTAGCTATGGATGCTTTAATAAGTGTAGAGCGCGTTTGAGTAGTGTCACATGATTAGAGAATCCAGCGTATCTAGCTTCATTAGACAAGATACTTTATAGGCAGAACCAGCCTCTTCCAGTAGTGCTACTACTACTGCCATTGCTCTCTAGAATTTTCCCATAGAAATGATGTCATCATGTTTTGTTGTTGAAATCTTCATAGCTCATTTAATGGTAGCTATGAACGCTTTGCAAGAACCTGCATGACTTTTAAGAAAAGATGTAAATTACAAAGACTTTTACATCTTGATTCTTTCAGTAGAGCAGTAATGTAGTAAACTGAAAATATTGTTGATTTGCATCAAACTTAAGGATGGAATCTTTTCAGAGTAAGATTTTTTTTCCTTGGAGACTATTGCACATGAATATTTTTGAGGTTTTAAACATTCTATAATGATCTATCATTTAGATTTACTTAGTATGTAATTTTTCAGGGAAAAAGTAATATTTCAGGATTACCACAAATTTCAGAATTGAAGGGAAATACACAACCATTTTTGTCTGTGTCCAAGCTACATATAGATGCCAGAGTGCCTCTTTACATTATTTAGGCTCATAACATTTGTGATCCATTGTCTTAATGATAGTGTCTAGATAATAAGGCTTTGTATTTTGAAACTACAGCTCTTGGAGTAGAAACCCACCTTTGTGATTCCTACCAAATTCTCTGCTCCTGTCACTGCTATAATCATTGTGTTTACGTTTATGTTGTCAGAGGGACTGTTGTAGAATAGTACCACTTTACTATGTCTTTAATGGTGAATCCAAGTATATTAATAATCTTATTTTTCCTATAAAAAGGGAGACAAACTATTTGTGTAGTCATCTTTAAAATTGAATGGCAGAAGAATAGAATATATCACTGTTGTCAATGGTTAAATGGCAAGAAAGAAGAAATTATTAATATTGTTGAACCTCTTCTCTGCCAGCTTCAAAATCCAGGGTACAATCCTAGTTCCTGTTTGCCAGAATCTTTGTTTTTCTTCTTGGGTACTCAGCAAAAAGTTAGCAGGTCTGCTGATTCCCGACTTCGTCACTGGGCAAGTCTGTCTTTCCAACCTGCAAGTCCTTGTGTGTAATGTGGGTCTCCTGATACCTACCTCACAGGGCTGTTGTGAGGGCTGCAGACATATGTGGAACCTGTCGCTCCCAACAGTCCAGGAGGAAACACGTGTTCATTGCTTAAATTACAGATGTCAAGGAAAGATGCTAAAAGACATGATGAGAGTAAAGAAAGTAATGTAGTTTAGTTAATTTGAGAAGATGTTGGAATTGATTAGGAAAGGTATTAAAGAGCTCATTTAAGGAAGGAGATATTGGGTCAAGAGGTGGAATGCGGTGTGATTATCAGTAGGCATTTTAGGTTTAGAAGTGTTACTGATAAAATCAATTGTATTGTAAGCCACATTTAAATAAATAACATTATACAGAAATGAACTATGACTTATTTTTTTAAAGCTTTATTGTATAAGTCCTCATCCTTCCTCTGTCATCTCAGAACCGTGGGATGACCATAAGACAATCCTTCGCTCCAGAGTTCCCCATTCACCATTTCCAACATTCTTTTCTTTGTCGTCTTTGCTCACTAGCTTGTTATTTGAATAGCTAATATGTTGGAACCATTCTTAAGAACCACTGTCTACTTTTTTGAGTTCTAGTGAAGTAAATCTATATTTATTGTCTGATATACTGAGTTACTCTGTAGATTTATCACAGAGTATTTTTTATTACCACTTTTTACTAGGTTTACAATATTTTGAAAAAATATAAAGATCAAAAAAAGGTATATTTTTATGGTGTGATTTATTTGGGCATTTTTAATAGACATTTGGATCAAAATCAAATACTCCATTGTTAGAAATACTTGTATCAGCAGTGCTTGATTGCATTGTAAGTTCTCATTTAGACTGCTCTTCTTCAGTCTTCTTTTATTTATTGTTGCGCTTTCTAAAAAATGAGTAGTGAAAGAAAAAACCACTATTCAAACACAGTTAAGGGTAAGAAGCCTTCACTCTCCTACATTGCTTCAATTTGGCTTCAGTGTGTGGCTGAAGATGAGAAGTACAGACCAGAGACTGGGAGCTTCCTGGTCCCACAGCACAGAGAGGCTGTGCTGCAGAGACTGTTAACCAGCATTCTCTCTCTGGGAAGGGTCAACAGCATGATTATATGATTAGTGTGTGCTTGACTGGAAAAAGGAATGCATACATTTTGGTCATGTGTGTACACAAATGTGTTCTCCAGAATACAACAACCATGCCAATGAAGCCTACTCCAAGGTATTCTAAAGAAGTGTTCTTACAAAGGGATTTACTTTGAGCTTTCCATATCTTGTTCTGTGATCAGGAAGATGACAGAGGATGAATACAGAGGCAGGCTGACTGCCTAACAATCACTGACCTGTGTGGAATTTCATTTGCAACCTGGCCCCATTATCACCACCATTCCCTAAGCAATCAAGCTGAAGAATAAATGCAACACAAAGATGCCTTTTTTTCCATCAATCACACATGCTGACGGGTATATTCTGTGTGCTGCATGGAAGTAAGAATTGGAGAGAGTTGTAAGGTGGACTCACACATTCACACCATGTGCCATATGGAAGTTTGAGATCTGTGGTTCAACAGTATGGAGGGTAGGGGATGGAATAGAAAGGTACGGAAAGAAGTGGGTGGGGTTAATGTATGAATTATGAAAGCTGTCATAAGAATTTCCACCTTTTACAAAAGTAATAAACATCCATAAAAAGTTCAAGAGTCAACATCTTCCCCTTTCCCAATCTCACATCCAGAGGTAAGCACTTTTCTGTGATTAGGTTTGTGTGTACCTTTCCTATGCAAAAACAAAAGTATGTATTTTAAGATTACTATATGGAAGGTGATTGTACTCCATAAATTCTTTTCTGTTTACTTTCCTACTGTACAATGTATCATGGTCATCTTTCTGTATCATTGCTACCCCAGTCTTTCTGACTGCTCAGTGGCATTCCATAGAATGTATCAACCATAATTTACTTAGCCATTTCTCATTGATAAGACGTTGAGGATTTGTGTGAGGTTTTTACTGAGGCACAGTTGTGCTCAGAGCCTCCTACCTTTATGCTTGTATGCACACTGAAAATTTTCCTTTAGGATAGATACCTCATGATAAACATTTAAACTTTGGGAAGATGAGTTGACCTCCCTGTTCCAGAAGTCATTAAAGATGAAGTTTTCTCTCTCTTTGTAATTCTGATTTTCATGTAAGTAAATCAATAAATCTTAAAAGAAAAAAAAAGGAAGATTAAGAAAGTTTTGATCTAGCCAAACTAAGGAGCTTACATAGGATTAACAATTTCGGAAATTTCCACCATTTAAAATTTTAACTGTATTTTTTAGAATGGGAAAATCTTCTCTAATACCACCCAGAGATGGAATTTGAAATGTGAAAAATCTAATCATTTATTTCTCCCTAGAGATAATATTTTAAAACTGATTTGTTTTTGTTTATTCTTGTTATGATAGTCTTTTAAATAATATCTCTCGTGATAAATCTGATATATTTTGCCTTTGCACCAACCATATCTTCTCTCTCCTGGTTTTTTTAATGAGTTATATTTGTTTTGGTGATTTTCTTTATAGCTTTAACTTAACGCCTGTATTTTGCGGACAGGGCACCAACTTTAAGCAGTGTTAGACTCATTAAGTTACAGAGAGAAGTTTATGCCCTTCAGTGTTTTTCTACTCTTCTACCTTTATTTGTACATAATCAAGAATTTTGAGCCATTTTATTCTGCTCCTCAGCTATAGTTCTGTTCTCTTCCTATGTTAAAATTGTAAAAAAGGAAAACCAAAACATCACATTTCTACTGCAAATTACACTATTGATTATACACTTCAGTGAAGGGATGATAATCCTGTAGCAGTTAAAAAAAGTTGTTTATGCTTCAAGAATGTCAAGGTCAATTCTGATTCTGTTTTCTTAAAATCTGTCACTATCAACTTTTTTTTTTTTTTTTTTTTGTCTTTTTTCCGACAGGCAGAGTGGACAGTGAGAGAGAGACAGAGAGAGAAAGGTCTTCCTTTGCCGTTGGTTCACCCTCCAATGGCCGCCGCTGCAGCCGGCGCACCGCGCTGATCCGTTGGCAGGAGCCAGGATCCAGGTGCTTTTCCTGGTCTCCCATGGGGTGCAGGGCCCAAGCACCTGGGCCATCCTCCACTGCACTCCCTGGCCATAGCAGAGAGCTGGCCTGGAAGAGGGGCAACCGGGACAGAATCCGGCGCCCCGACCGGGACTAGAACCCGGTGTGCCGGAGCCGCAAGGTGGAGGATTAGCCTATTGAGCCGCGGCGCCGGCTCTGTCACTATCAACTATTGAAAATAATGCCACAGCTTGGTTTGCTTTAGTGTTTCTTGGGATTTCTAATTACCTTATCTTTTTTCTTTCTTTTAATGTCACTAAAACCTTTTTTTTTTTTTAAAAAATAGGCAGAGTTAGGCAGTGAGGGAGAGAGAAAGGTCTTCCGTTGGTTCGCCCCCCCAAGTGGCTGCTGCAGCTGATGCGCTGGGCTGATCCGAATCCAGGAGCCACGTGCCTCCTCTTGGTCTCCCATGCGGGTGCAGGGCCCAAGGACCTGGGCCATCCTCCATTGCGCTCCTGGGCCACAGCAGAGAGCTGGCCTGGAAGAGGGGCAACCGGGACAGAATCCGGCGCCCCAACTGGGACTAGAACCTGGTGTGCTGGCGCCACAGGCGGAGGATTAGCCTAGTGAGCTGCGGCGCCGGCCACTAAAACCTTTATGATAACAAATATTTAGCTTTGTAATTTTGCAGTTTGAGTAATTAAGGGTTGGTTCTCTTTTTTTTTTTTTTTTTTTTTTAAGATTTATTTGATTGAAGGGCAGAGTTAGCAAGCACGAGAAAGGTTTTCCATCTGCTAGTTTACTCCCCAAATGGCCGCAATGGCCAGGGTGAACCAAGCCAAAGCCTGGAGCTCCAACTGGGTCTTCCACGAGGATGTAGGTGCTCAAGCACTTGGGTTGTCATCTGCTGATTTCCTAGGTGCTTTAACAGGGACTTGGATTGGAAGCAGAGCAGCTAGGACTCGAACCAGTGCCCACATGGGATTCTTGTATCACAAGCAGTGGCTTACCACACTTCGCCACAGTGCTGGCCCCTGAGTAAGTGGGTTTTTGTTTTTGATTTCCTGCTCTAGTTAGGTCTACTACTTTTCTGAACCTGTGACAAAACTCAGCCTGGGATTTCTTTACCCTCCTCTTAAAGTCCATTCACTTTTTTCAGTTTAGTTGAAAATGTATTTTATTCTCAGAAACAGAGCTTGGTGAATACATTTCAAAATTCTCGTTTCTGGAAAGGTTTTCTTTTGCCATCATACTTGACTCATAGTTTGGGTTCAAAGTCCTTTTCCTTCAGAAGTTTGAAGGCTGCCATTATATTCGATGCATTTTGCAGTCAATTGTATGTGTATGTTCTGGTTTTTCTATTTGAACATTGGAAAAATGATCTTTTTTCTTTTTTACTATTGGTGTAGGTGTAGGCATTTTAAGCTTCATCTTTCTTGATGCACTTTAATAATCTACAGTTTCATCTTCATTCCATTCAGTTTTCCTTTTTGATTACTGTTTCCTTGTCTCTGCTCAGCTTATGGAATTCTTTTAAGTTCTTGTTAGTCCTTGTGAAGCTGTCTACTTCGAGTTACCTTTTCCTTCCTATTTTGTGTTTCTGTCCTTTCTCTAAGTATTGGGAGATTTCATTTTGCCTTCCAGAATACTTACCTCGTCTTTCAGTCACACTTGAGCTATTATTCAGCATGTCTGATGAAGCTTTTATTTTGTCAGCTGCATGTTTAATTTCTGAGTACTTTTAGTGGTTCTCTGGTCTCTTCATTTTTCACAGTGGCCTGTTTTGTTACTTGTTTTTAATGAATATATCTCTTAAAACCTTTAGCATAGTAATCGAAGTATTCATGTGTTTGGTATGATCTAATGCTCTGTTTTCCTCTGAACCACTTAATCTGTTTTCTTTTTTAGTTTTTCTCTTTCCCACTGGTTAATTTTCTTCAAATCTCCAGTGCGCCTTGATTGGACAAATATTTGGTGGCTTGTGTTGGTTAATACAGTGGTTGCTCTCCTAAATGGTAGACTTCTCTGTGGACGATGTGCTGGGGGGTGTAGGATGTTTAGGATGTGTAGGATAATATTGGAGTAAACAGGGACCTGCTCCCTGGCCGGTGTTGGTGGGTTGGACTCAGAGGTGGAGTGTTGATGCTGCTCTGGGTGGCACTGCCGCAGTCCTCCCTTCCCTTGCCGCTCTCACTCCTCTTTCCCTTTTCCTTTCCTGCCTCCTTTCCGTCCTTCAGGATGGTGGCAGGATGCATCTGCAAGCTCCATGCTGCTTGCTTCTCCAGCCACAGTTCCTGCTCTGTGATCTTTTTCTCAA